CTTTGCGGAGACTATATGTTTGGAAGAGAATATTACTTCTTATGTTCTGCTTAATTAATTTAGAATAGTTCGGTACTATATTGCATCAGACAAATAACTTTCATTTTCTCTCGGGCAGATAATGTTGTTAACACCTGCACGAGAAGGTGCATTGATTAATACCTTCATGCAGTTGCGAGGGCCTCCTTCATTGCTATATGCTTTCCACATTTACTAATGATCATTCATGATACAAGAAAGTTTGTTAGAGTTCTAAAATAGATGATCTCGAATTCAAGTTCTTTTGTATGTAAAAAACTCTTTAAATAGCTATTCGGTTTTGTATATTCTCCGGATAGTCGTTATCGCCTACATTCAATAGAATAACAAATGATTAATTTAAATATTTAGATTTATGATACTTTGAAGAATTCAAAAAAGATGATTGTACATGATCATATTCATCGGATAAAAACAAGGATAGAATTTTTTTTTTTTTTTTATAAGATTGCAACTCAGTTATTAAGCATAAGAAGATAAGGGTTAGTAGTTAATAATTAATAAAGTAAATGAAGATATCGTGTTAATACACATAGTATTACGGGTCACAAACAATCATGTGTATAGTTTTATTTTTTTTGAATTTGCAAATGTTATTCCCATTAATTATTGAATTAATCAAAGTTTTTTTTTTTTTCCCCTTGAAAGGCCTTACATATATATACTAACTATTAGAAAATGAATCAAGTAAAAAAATAAAATAGAATAAATAAAAAAAATTACAGAATAGAAAATTTTTACATAGTTTGATAATGATGCCTACTCAATGATTGAATTAGGATTTATTATTAGATTTTGTTAAGTGACGACTCCAAATACAAATGATATTGCTTCTATTTATGATGAGATTGGCATACTGAATTTATATAGCATCTTATATTATGAGTCCTACATGTCCTCATAGTCTCGACAATTTAATACATATCCGTATTTATTTTTTATGAATATAGAAAACATATTATAGTACAATGGCAAGACCATCACCATACTACTTAAAAGACTTATTTTATCATAAAAACACAAACTATATATTTTTTTTAAATTTTTTTGACATGTTTTTTAAAAAATGGACAGAAAATATATGAATTGAGCTTCTAATAACAATTTTAGTACGGGAGCTACTTTTTATCCAAGATTCTGAGTCCACTTGACATGGCATGATTGTTATGATGACATCATAGTATAAATTCCAAGTAGGATTCCATGTGGATTTTTTTTCAATTTTTCTTTTTACTGTAGCAAAATCCTAGGAGAGGGAAACACCTTTCTCTTCGTCAAGTCTCCTATCTTCTTCGATCTTTTTTTGTTTTAGATTTCAAAATCCTTCAAGTCTCATATTCTAAATTCAAATTCTCAGCAAGCCCACTTCAGTTTTTTCATTTTTTTAACTGGGTTTGCTCTTGGTGAAATTTCATTAGAGTAGAGAGAAGATGAAGAAAAGAGAACATTGTTAGTTAGTGAAGTTGTCAAAAGTTAATGAATGGCATACGCATTGCTCATTTTAGTGATGAAGATTTGAATCTAAGATACTGCTGCAAGGTAAGTTTTTCTCTTGGCTTAATATTTCACCATGGCGTCCTCTCGTACTAGTCTCTGATAGCCAAATTTGAAACATGGGATTCGAAGGATTTGCCTTACATTCAGATTTATAATCATCAAAATAAACATGATATAGAAAAAATAATCCATTATACCATCCTGTTATATGTGTCTCGTTGTAACAAACAAAAGGATATGGAACTTTTTGCGGCTCAAATTGGAAATCAAGTTCCCATCCATGGCATTTAGGAAAATCCTTATCTAGGTACAAAAAGTAGCGATCTCGAACACCATCTTCCTTAGATTGATGCTTGAAGAAAAGCACGTCATTGTTTCTGATAGTGGCTTTATTGAGATGGTGGGCTATGAAAGGAGTTGAGATTAAAGAATGCCATGTTTTGGAAACTCACATGAATCGCAATAATAATTTCACCTGCAATCTTCCTAGGATATTGTTAGTCAGTGGACAGAAAAACTGAAATGGGTTTGCTGAGATTTTGAATTTAGAATATGGCATTTGAAGTATTTGGAAATCTGAAAGGAAAAAGATCAAAGAAAAAATGAGACTCGGTAAAGAGAAAAATGTCTCTCTCTCCTAACATTTTGCCATAGTAAAAAGAAGAACTAAGAAAAAATCTACATGAAATGAAATTTATGATATGTTGTCATTGTATCAATCATATCATGTCATGTCACATCACATGAATTTAAAATTTTGAATAGAATATAAAGATTTGAATAGAAAATATCTTTATATTGATATGGTTATTAGAAGGATAATTTAAATATTTTTTATATATTTTTTTTAAATGCTAAAATAATTAAAGGGAGTAAATTTTGTGATTTTATGGTACAACGAGGATTGTATGGATGGAAAATCCTGCAAGCACACATTTCATATATAATAATTTATTCCCTGGATTTTATTAATTGGGTCTAGGCAATAATTAAGCCACATGTTTTTATCCTTCCCGTTCCCAATGGCATCCTGCAACAAATAGTCAAGTCCATTCAATATTGCATGTAACTATAACTTAGTCCCTGGAGATTATTATTTTGGTTTTTTTAGGGTTGTCATGTTGTTTAAAATAAAAATTCAAGATAACAATTTTATGTGAAATAATTATAGATTTAAAAATTTAGAAAAAGAAAAAAATAAACAAGTTAATAAAATAATGGTCAATTACTTAACTTTTTTCTCCTTATGATAAACTGAGATTTATTAATAAACACTCCTAAAAAAGAGAAATAGTGAGCAAAATCTACGATATACTGAAATAAAAACCCATCAACCAGAGTCCTAGATTTTACGGATCTAGCACGTTTGTGGTCGCCCAAAAAATACAATTCTCCAGACATAATGGGGTCAAATACAGCCAATTCCAATACTATTATACTAGAGTTAAGGAATTAAATTATAGGTTCTTAAATTTGAAGCACTAAATTGTAACTTCATTCACAGCTCAAGGACTGAATAATAATTCACTATTTTCCTCTAATATGCAAATTACTCTTTATCTATCAAACAGCAACGTGGATAACTACTATTTATGGGCTTTTAAAAAATGAATTCAGTCACGTGAAAACATTCCAACAAGCGATGTAATGAATATAAAACAAGTTAATAGTCAACTGAGGTGGCAGGCTGCTTGCCAAAAAAAAAAAAAAAAAAGAAGCTCGATTTATCTTTATGCAATAAAATAATTTTTCAATATGTTTTTTATGTTCTTAAGTATATCAATTTTATTTTTAAACATAAATTTTAATTTTAATAGAATTTTTAAGTAAAATCATCAAAATTAGTCACATAATTTACACATAACTATTTGTATTAAAAAACATCTTTATAAATTAGATAAATAAAAAAAATTTACGTGTAAATCACAATGACTAATTCATATAGTCCAGCATGAAAAACTTATCAAAAGATTAGAATATAAACTTAATATACAATGAGAATAAAATTGATTTAATTAGAGATATAAATTTAGATTAAAGAATTATCATATTATATAAAGAAAGATAGAGACATTAATACAAAATCACAAGGCTGCAAAATTTTTTAAAAACTATGATTTTATCATCATTCATATAAAAATTTATGGAATCAATCATGTTTATAAAAATAAAAAACCGCCCATCAAAACTAGATTAATATATAGACAAGTGATGCATCCTTATCTTGCGCACCTAACCGAGCACTCGTTCAACCTACTAATTAATCTAAAGTTATCAAGTTTTGAGGCCTCCTTAATAATTTATAGAAATTTTCAAGACTTTTGATCAAATGCGTTATTGACTATTAGAAAACGAAACGATCATAGCTTTGGAAACTCATTTGAAAATTTAAGAATTTGACATCATTTATTGTTTTCTTAAGTTTTAATTTCTATATAAATAGATATTTCATTTCAAAATGAGTTGTTAACATTTGTCAATTTCACTTTTTTTTTATTTATAAAAATACTAGTTTTATATTGGTATTATCATAAGCCCTACCCATATTAATAACTTGCATACTTAACACTAAGAAATTTTATTTGGTTGAATGAAATTTTTTCTAAAAAAAACGAGGTGCTTTTTTTTAATAAATTGATTCATTTGAGACTCTACAAATCCTTTTTTTTTTCTTTTTTTTCCCTCTATTCAAAGACTTAATGGTACCTGTTTCCTTTTTTATATATATATATGTGTGTGAATTAATATCTGATTGAAATTTTAGTCCCCCTTGTCCAAGCCTTGTAAGAATCATGTGAGGATGGGATCTGATTTGGTTATATTCCTCACGTGGCTAGCTAGACATTGCGTGAATTCCGACGTTGGAATCAGAGCTTCACTTTCTTCGAAGCATTTCACGTGCAAAAATACAGAAAACGTGATCTATGTAATTGAGTCAATTGTTTTTTAGTCCCTAATTTATGAACTAGATTATAACTTAGTAGTTCATGTTTTAAGACTTATAATTTAGTTTCTTGATCGACTCATGTTGACTGCTCTAGCTTTAAAATTAACATTCTTGGTTTTTCTCAAACCTTCATTTTTCTTAACTCTAAGAATCTACTATTAGAAAAAGATACAATTGAAATTTAACAAGAACTCCATGCAAGATATGTTTTAACAAGAGAATGTTCAATTAAAGCGATGATAGCTAAACAAAATGGTTTTAAAAAATTATGAAAGCCGTTGGTATTTTTGCTATTTTCAACTGGAAATCCAAAGAACAAATTTTTTGTTTATGTTTTCAAAAATTTGGAAAAAAAAAACATAAATCGCAATGGATATCGAATGTCTCTAAACTATAGGTTTTCAAACATGAAAGACTAAGTTATAATTACAGCCACAACCTAAGGACTAAAGAATAATTTACCCTTCAATCATCTCTACTTACGATTTCTATAAATCTCTGGGTTTCCATCTCTCTCATGCAAGCCAAGAGCACAAGCTCTAAATCACTTCTCTCTTCTCTAACCAAAACTCAAACAATGTTGATGCCACAAGTGGTTCAACAATCACGAAACCCTTCAGCAACTCTCTTGACATTGCCCAAACCATTCCTTCTTGGCAATAGCCATGCAAATATTTTTCCTGTCCAATTGAGGTCCTCAATATTTACTAGTACTAAAGCTAGCCGAAATGCAAGCCTTAGCTATAAACCTAACGTAATTAAAGCCATAGCAACTGTCCCTGCAGACCAGACTACAACAGTAAAGGCTGTTTTGTCTGTGAAGCCAAGCACCGGTACCGATAGTAGTACTAGTACCGGGGTAGATAATTTGGCCACAGACTTGCTTGGTAGCTTGGAGCTTGTTTTTGCAGAGCTTGATCCAGGTTAGTAGTATTCACTACACTATTTGATCATGACTTAACATATGATTTTTTTTCATCCGTAATTAAGCATTTTCGTTTCGTTAACCGATTTTAGACGAAATTAGTCGCAATTAAGAGGGCACATGTCATTGTTTTATTAACTGAATTGTCTTTTCCTGAACATTTGTCGGTTTTGAGTAGTTTATATACCTCGTAATTGGGGATTAATAAAAAGATTTAGGATCCAGATTTTTCTATATTATCTTTAATGAATTGTTTTTTCTTGTACTTTTACAAAAGAAACGGGAGAGGAGAGGACCGTTACAGGGAAGGCAGTGAAAGCAGGCGAACTGGATGAATATGTCCTGTATGAAGTAGTCCTTGAGGTTCCAGTTGATTATGGAGAAGTTGGTGCAGTTTATGTTTCAAATGAGCAAGCTAACGAGTTTTTGGTCAAGGAAATTGTCCTTGATGGCTTCCCTCTTGGCTCGGTTTTACTGACTTCCAATTCATGGGTTCAACCAGCAGACAAAAGGGTCTTCTTCACGAATAATGTTAGCTATCTTCCTTGAAATATTAACTTCGTTGCAATAAGTTATATATGTACATTATTTATTTATTTATTATAATGTTCAATAATTATTTCAACGGTTATTTCTATTTATAAATCTAAGGAGTGGGCCGTCACCGTGCGTATAGCCTTCCCCAAGAAACAAACAAGCAAGTAATTAACCCTATAAATTACTCATGACGAGTTGATTCATTCAAATTTTGATTGACAATTAAAGAAGAAGAAAACAAAAATATAGACTTAAAACTATTTTTTAAGTTATTCGTGTTTATCCAAAAATAATATAAATTATATTTTAAAATCTTATTTAATAATTTTCATTATCAAGTTAAAATGTTTTTTATATAATATTAGAGTTTTATTAGTTAAATAATCACGAGTTCATATAAAACATGATAGTGATAGACATGTATTTTTCTCTTCTATTAAAATTAAATAATTAAGCATAGATCTATTAAAAAAGTGTTGAGCTTCTGATGTAAATGGTAGATTTGTAGGGAGATCATCATATAAATTATATTTTCGAGTCTTATTTGATAATTTAAATTGTTAATTGACATGATTCATAAACATAATATATTTTTTAGGATATTGTCGATCTAGTGACATAATTAATAAAATATTATAATGTCTACAGGTGCCAGGTGCTTGTTTGTTTATCTGCAAGTATGTTGTTGTGTTTGAGCTATATATTTCTTGTCATTTTTAAATCTTAGACACTAACTGTGTGTGTACCGTGGAGCAGTCTGCATATTTGCCGGTACAAACACCAAGTGGATTGAGAAGGTTAAGAAAGGAAGAGCTTGTGAGTTTGCGAGGCAATGGCGAAGGAGAGCGCAAGAAAGGCGACAGGATATATGACTACGACGTGTACAATGACCTCGGAGATCCTGATCATGAGAGCGGAGCTGATTTAGCAAGACCGGTGCTCGGAGGCAAAGAACACCCTTATCCTAGACGTTGCCGAACAGGGCGGCCGCCAACCAAGAGAGGTAAAGGATAGAAAATAAAAGGCTGATAGAATGTACAGATGATATTAAAGTATGTTGGTTCATTATTTTAATAGAACATCTGTTGATAGATCCGGCATCGGAGTCGAGTACTACTGGTGACTTTATCTATGTGCCTCGCGATGAAGAATTCTCTGACCTGAAGGAGAAAAGTTTTAAGGAGAGGACAGATTTGCACACTCTTCGTTCATTGTTAACAGGACTACAAGCCGGGCTTAGTAATGAGGCTGATTTCCCATTCTTCACAGCCATAGACAAACTCTATAATGAAGGAGTCAACTTGCCTTCCACTCTACCAAGCAAGATTTCGGGTTCCTTGCCCGACTTTATCAAGAAGCTTCTTGAATCGGCTAAATACTTGTTGCGGTTTGACCCTCCTGAATTAATGGAGAGTAAGAAAGAGCAACAGTACTTTTTCAGATTTCTTTTCCATTATCATAATACAATTTATTGATTTATTTGATCTCTAGTTAGCTTAAGACCTTATATTTGTTAAAAACTATAAATATTTATAGGATCTCTATCTCTCATATGTGTTTTTGCTCTCCAGGAGACAGATTTTCTTGGTTTAGGGACGAGGAATTTGCTCGGCAGACTCTTGCTGGTCTAAATCCATCTTGCATACAATTGGTCACGGTATGTTAGACTGAGCCTTAGGTTCAAGTATTAAATTATCTTGCAAGGCTTGTAATATCGTGCCGGTATGTTGGGTAAAATCATGCAGGAATGGCCACTGATGAGTCAACTTGATCCTGAGATTTACGGTCCACAGGAATCAGCAATCACAGAAAGACTTATCAATGAAGAACTCAACGGGTTCAATTTGACAGTAGAAGAGGTAGCCAAGAATCCAATTCGAAATGGAATAAAAATCATTATGGCCTTCAGTAATAATTATAAATCTGATGTTCGTGTAGGCTATAGCGCAGAAGAAGCTGTTCATCCTTGATTACCATGATTTATTTTTACCACATGTGAAGGAGGTAAGAAAGCTTGGAAATAGAACTTTATATGGTTCACGGACACTGTTCTTCCTAAACCCAGAAGGCACATTGAGGACTCTAGCCATTGAACTCACTCGTCCACCGATGGATGGAAAGCCTCAGTGGAATGAAGTGTTTAGACCAACCTCCAATTCCACAGGTCTCTGGCTTTGGAGGCTTGCCAAAGCTAATGTTCTTGCACAAGATTCTGGCTATCATCAACTTATTACTCACTGGTGTGCATTTTCTTATTTCTTCACTCTACTTTCAGTTGCATCTTTGCCATTGTCTTCTGCGAAATAACTCCCAAGCTTCAAGAGAAAAAAAAAAATCAACTTGTATAGCGTATGAATTGCACTCACATTTTGCAGGCTAAGAACGCATTGTGTCACAGAACCATACGCAATTGCAGCGAATCGCCAACTTAGTGCCATGCATCCAATCTACAGGCTCCTGCACCCTCATTTCCGATACACAATGCAGATCAATGCTCAAGCTAGAGATACGCTGATAAATGCTGGTGGGATAATTGAAACAACATTTTCACCTGGCAAGTACTGTATGGAGCTAAGCTCTGTTGTCTATGACAAGCTGTGGAGGTTTGACCAGCAGGGACTGCCAAAGGATCTAATTAGCAGGTACCAACATTGGTTTAAGGTTAGCCCCCTTTTCTGTTTATATTTATGACTGATAAAATACTTCTTGTTTTGCTAATTTCCAGAGGAATGGCTGTTGAAGATCCATCTTCTCCACATGGTGTGAAGCTAGCAATCGAAGATTACCCTTATGCCAATGATAGCCTTTATTTATGGGACATCATAAAAAATTGGGTCAGTGACTATGTCAACCACTACTATCCAGAAGCAAGTCTCATTGAGTCTGATGATGAGCTCCAAGCATGGTGGTCGGAAGTTCGCAATGTAGGCCATGCTGACAAAAAGGATGAACCATGGTGGCCTGAGCTAAAAACACCGCAGGACCTTATCGACACTATCACAACTATTATATGGGTTGCCTCAGGTCATCATGCCGCTGTGAACTTTGGACAGTATGCCTATGCAGGGTATGTCCCAAATAGGCCTACAATTACTAGACAAAATATGCCAACTGAAGATCCAAATGATGAGAAATGGAATTCATTTTTGGAAAAACCTGAAGAAACACTCTTGGATACCTTCCCTTCACAACTTCAGGCTGTAACAGTGATGGCTACTTTGAATGTTTTATCTGCCCACTCTCCTGATGAAGAGTTCATTGGGAATAGAATAGAGGCAGTTTGGGCTGAGGATCCTGTTATAAAGAAGGCTTTTGAAAACTTTAATGCGAGGATAAATGAGCTTGATGGGATTATAGATGGAAGGAATGCTGACAAGCTTTTGCAAAACAGACATGGAGCTGGTGTTATGCCTTACAATCTAGTCAAGCCATTCTCTACCCATGGGGTGACAGGGGAAGGAGTTCCCAATAGCATCTCCATTTGAAGAATTTTAACTAGTTCCAAAAAAAAAAAAAAAAAAAAAAAAGCCAATCCAAAAACTTATGTTATATATATATTCCTTGTTTAAAAAGAATAATAATTTCCCAATAATATAATGCCTTCTTGCATCATATGCAAGTGGATGAGGAAATTGAGAAGTTGATTTGTACTGGTGTTTATGGAACTATTACTGGTTTTATTATCTCTTTCTGTAATGTTTTTAAGTATTGAACAATAAAAGTAGCTTTTCAAGTTTATCTATTTGTTAGTGTTGAGATTTAGTGGTTTGACCATTGAATGTTAATTAAATCAGAATTTCAGCGCATTAAAATTGTTGCTAAATTAATTTTCTTTATGATGCTAATAAGTCACTTGTAATGCTTAACCCCATATATAATGGCTTAAGAGCTAGAAATTACCTACTGTACAAACGAAGACATGTCAAAATTTCATTATATATATCAAACAATGCAATACAAAGTTTACAAAAATCAAAATTCAAACTCAAAAACTTTAAATCTTATACATATATTCAAAGATATCAACAAATCTCCCACAAGCTCATTATACATCAACTAACGTAATTATAAAAGAGAGCATACAAATCTTGATGAATAATGGCGTATATAGGTGATAAGATATCAAATGAGTTAGGACTCTACAGATAGAACAGGATTCTAGAGAAATACTTAGGCCGTAGTTAGGACACTGATTGATGGTGGGACAGTGTTGACAGAAAACGTCCAAATAATGACAAAGAACTGATGCATGAATATTAATAATATTAATATTAGCTTCTGTGGATGAAGTGGGCACGGGTTGACGAACACGAGGAACAAAAGACAAAGCTTTTATACGAATGGCTTGGTTAAGGAATGAAAGCAGTAGACTTTACGCAGAAACAACCATTTAAGAAGGGAAGGGAAAAAAAATATATATAGAGAACCTACACGTTGGCTGCACAGTCCAGAATGACTCTGATATATATATATATATATATATATATATATTTTATTCAGATGAATTCCACACTGACAATTGTTGTGTATTTAACTATAAATAGGTTACAAAATATATAGTAGTTGAGATTTGAAAATATTCAAAAACAGTTTTAATGTATCTGTATTACGTTTAAATATAATTCTATTTATACCTGTACTATATTTAAATAGATTCCTGACTCATTTGTTATCTTCTCAACGGGGTCTCTCAATTTTTCTTTGAAAAACACACACACAAGATCTTATTTTTCTCTTAAATACTCGTTTATGTTTATAGTGACTACACACTTTCCAAAATGAAGTTAATTTTATTGATTTGAGGAGCTAAAGAAAAAAAGAAGTTGTTGGTTTAGAATCAATGACTATCAAAATTAATAGATTTGAATAAGATAACATGTAAATTCAATCGTTTTGGTATAGATATTGTACCGATGCTAAAATATTTAAAATTTAATTAGTGTTAGAGGCTAATATAAATTATATTCTAGGACCTCACTTATTAGCTTAAACTTTTAGGTAAGATGTTCCTTTAATATAATATCTCGTCTCTACCCGACGTTGGACGGGACTTCTCGAAAGTATCTACGATTAGATTAAATATTTACAAGTTTTATTTACGAGTTTGGAGTCGCCATCTAGTATTGAAAGAACTAGGAACCTAAAACGGAAACCGGTTCGGAGATTCCATGGTAAGGAGTTAGTTACGTTTTTGGGAAGATATCGATCACCCAAAAGCGCCCTTTTCGAAAAAAGGTACCACGTCCGGTTTAGCTTTAAATTTATCTCCTAAAATATTTTATTTACGTCAAATTATTTTCTCGATTCTTAATCTCCTATTTTTTTTGGACAAATTGAATTTTTTTAGTTTTAAGCTCGGCATCGTATTGAAACGATCGTCGGTCCCTTCGTCGGGCGACACGTCGATTCAAACATCGGATCCACTTTAAGCCTTAACACAACCGGTGTGTCGGAGGATATCTTGATTTAAACAATGATTTTTTTGGTGACGTCGACCCTATCCAATAGGAGGTTTCGTCGAAAATTTTGAATTTGGTGACGTCGGTCCTTATTAGATAATAGACTTCGTCGAATTTATTTATTATTTTTTTTATGACGTCGGTCCATATAGATAGGAGACTTCGTCAATATTTTTTTTTAGCAATACATACTAAAGAAAAGAACATAAAAAAAAACATTAAAATAACAAATCTAAATTAATACCTAAAAGCGACAAGAAATAAAAATAAACGAAGCTAAAAATAGATAAATACTAAAAAAAAAAAAGTCATCCTATATAAACAGAGTTAAAAAATAAATGAATAATAAAAGTAATAAAAAAAATCATCATGTGCCTAAAATATTAACCCACAACTTTTATTCTTTTCTTTTCTTTTCTTTTTTTCTTTTTTTTTAACCCATCCTCCTTTTTTTCCTTCTTATTTTTTCTAACTCTATTTTTTATTTCTTTATTATTGCCTTTTTTCTTTTTTTTTCTTTTTTTGTGAGGGACACGGGCTGGGCTAAATTCCAGCCCGACCCCTCCTTTTTATTTGGTGTAAAGGGGCGGGCCGGATCGAGCCCGGTCTAGCAATCCTTTTTTTTTGCGTGGGGGTGAGGTTGAGGCTGGATCGATTGCAGTCCAGCTCACTTTTCTTTTCTTTTTAGGAAAACCGAGCTCAACCCTAGGCCCACAAACAAGCCCCACCTCTTTTTATTCTTCATTTTTCGGATCAAAACTCAACGATTCCTAGCCTTCAACTCTTTCTCTCTCTTGTTCGTCCCTTTTCTTTCTATTTTCCAGATTCTCTATCCTTAAGAACCCGATTTCGGATAAATCTTTATACTCTAGTTTCGATCACAAGCCCATCATAAAGCTAAACTTTAGACAAAATTATGAAACCAATGCTTGGAATATAGAAACAATTGAATTAAAAACCGAAAAAAGGATGAACACCAACTCGATATGCTTGATGTTGATAATTGAAGGGAACAAAAAAACTTGGATCGAAAACAACCCTCGGGATGGTTTTGAAGAAGTTAAGGCACCGTTAATGGATCTTGGATACTCGGATGGATTCGAACTAGAGGCTTAAAGTTCGACGAGTGTGAAGAATTTAAAACGTAAACCCATAAAGATCAAGAACATTCAAGCGTTACCTAGAAACATGAAGAACACCGTCCTAGGTTTTCAAAGAGCAAAGATCGAGAATTTGAAGAATTTGAATCCCAATTTCAAGAAGTCCGAGCAACACTCTAAGATGGAAAAATCAGCGCGAAAAACCAAGAAAAAAAGGTCGACAAAGACCAATGGCCGATGAATGAAAACCCATAATACCAAGAACACGAAGAACGGAACCCGAAACCCGTAAAATGCAAGTGACCAAAAACTAAAAATTTAGCCTTTTGCTTTTGATTTTCGAAACCTCTCTACCCGAATTATTCACCCAATCCCTTCCTCCTCTTTTCTTGAAATCGGACTCGTTTTTATAGCCAAAAGCTTGCTTGATTTTCTCTTAGAATAAGACACAAAATCCCCAAAATTTTTTGTCAAAAATCTCAAATTTGATTCGATTTGCTAATCAACAAGGAAAGGAATTAGTGATTGCTTGATTCTCTCGTCCAAAATTAATTCAATAATAGATGTAGAATCAAAACAGGAAATTTGTGAAGGATTTGGCGATTTCTCCAAAGATTTTCGGAGAGAATCTAGGTTTGGAGTGGACGACAGTCGTTCATCACATTTTAGTCCCGTCGTCTGCTCCAACATTTCAATTTGGTCCTTGTGCATTTCGATTTTAGCGATTACACCTTTTTGTGGTATAATTACAACACAATCTTATCAATTTGGTCCCCGTAGAGCAATTTAGGTTCTAAAATTTTCAATTTGTTCAATTATACTCCTAATTACTTCAATTGTGTCCATAAATGAAAATTTTTGTTTTTTTCATCATTTTCCTTTTTTTTTTTTTTGGGTAAACTTCAAATAAAATAAAATAATAAAAATAAACATAAATAAAATAAAATAATAAATAAATAATAAAGATAAATAAAAAGATAAAAAAATAAAAAATAAAAATAAAAAGAGGAAAATTTTGGGTTATTACAAGTATCGAGCTTGGTTGACCTTGAGATCCCGAGTTCAAATCTCACAATCCTCAATTTCTTAAGTATTAAGCACAAGACAATGTAGACCTATACAAGTTTCATGTCCCAAATTTTGAGCTTTTCACTTGAGAAGATGTGTTAGAGACTAAGTATAAATTATATTCTAGAACCTCACCTATTAGCTTAAGCTTTTACGTGAGATGGTCTTTTAATAATTAGCAATCTCAATAAGTGATTATCTTGGAAAAATTAACTTGATTAGAGTTGTGAAGTCTTCGAGGGAGTTTCTAATTGCATTTTCTAAGCACATAAGCTTTTGTTTTCAGTGAGAATCAAGATTTATGCCTACCAGTCAGAAGGATGCATGTTCGGCATGGTCCAAGAAATCAAAGTCCTTCAAGAAACCCTGTCAGGAAGAACGGAAAAAAAGACAGAACTCCTTTATTATCTGGACCATGTGAGGTGGTAAATGAATATTGAGTAATTTGGAGTTTTGCAAGTGATTTTGATTGTTCCTAGAGTTGACAGTGGACGGTGCAACGTTAAATTTGTGTGTTATTTTTTTTTATTTTATGTTTTCTCAATATTTTGTCATACATGAGTAAATTATAAGTTAGTCTTTGTAGTTTTAAGAAACAAATTAATTATTTAGTTTTTTAATCCATATTAATCATACTTAATTTAATATTTTTTTTATTTTTTCAATGATATTTTAATAATATCTATTTATTTTTTCTATCTAAAAAAATAGAAAAAAAGAGAGCATAAAATGGACCAAAAGGACTAAATAATTAGTTTTTAAAACATAGAGAACTAATTAATTTGTTTCAAAAAACTAGAAAGACTAATTTATAAATTACTTGCAATGCTTTCTATAAAATTTTGTTTGAAATCCTAA